GTTGAACCTCTAAATTTAGAAGTGAGCTAAGGCTTTTAAAAAAAAACAAACCTGTATTTTACTCTTACATGCTGTTTTTAAAGTGTCCATTTTGGGAGTTTCAAAGCTTAAAAAATAATAATAAATCGGTATACAGTGGTAGGTTTCAGAAATTAGCCTTATGACTTGGCTTGTCGAAGCAATACGTTGGGTTTTTGTGACAGTTACAAGCCACAGAGAGAGGTTTGGGTTCAGGTGGGAGAAGAGAACCAGTTTTAATACATTCTGCTAATGAAGACAATACTTTTTTTTTTTTTTCCAAATGTATATAAAAACTCGTTTTTAACTGTTTTGTATAGATTTCATTATAAATAACTAAGCATTTTAAGACTTTGACATATCATTTAATTGTACATACATCTATCAGCCTAACTGCCCACTTTTTGGTGCTCAAGTACTACTGTAAGTAGATTTCATCCAAAGTCTAATACAGCTTTTTGCGTCAGTCTTTTTTTTTAAGCTGTGATTTTACTGTTCATATTGTAGTTAAGATTAAATTCCAACTAGAGCAACTCAAACTGAAAATACAAAACCTAAAAAAAAATTATCTTCCTTGTCCTGACTACCCACCTATGCAAGAACACGCAGGAACCCTAGATGGTGCTGTTGGTTTATCATCTCACCAGTTATTTTAGAAATTAAGTCCCCATGACTTTCATACACTTCCCCCCCCCATTTTCTTTTCCATCAGCATTAGTTCCAAAATAATCTAGTTTATTATGATGGAGAAGTGTCTTGATAAATTCCACATGCAAACGCTGGAGTAGTGGGTTAGGAAACTAATTATTTTTACGTTACCTTTATGTTGGAATAGGTATTGGTTTGGTTTCTGCTGTACTTAGTGCTCAGGATGGAAGAGAATCATATATACAAAATGAAATGTACCATATTTCTTTCTTTAGTTAAAAAACAACAGCCCTACCAGTACACCGTTGTAGATGGTTCAGGTTTTGATGGTTGTTCAGGAGCTTTTATTTAACTGAAATAACGGGGACCAGCAAGAGTCACCAAGTTACGATCTAAGTCTTGAAAGTCCCACGTTACTATGGAATGACCAAAAGCTGTTTAATATGGATTTTACTGCCAGGGGGGCTGGATAATAGTCTGTTACGCTTCGCAGGTGCCAGCGTAAGGCGCAGTCTGGAGTTTTCCCCACGCAGTTACAAAAAGCCCCGAGCAGATGACACGCAGTTCTTCTGGCTTGTGTCAAATTTTCATCCTCACCTGGGGTCTTGCAGTATTTTGAGCCTCCCTGGCATATCTAGGACTGAAAGGCCAGGAGAATATAAAGTAGAGCAAGATCTCTAGGTCCTACATCTGGGTCTGGCAATCCCAGGCACAAATACAGACTGGGTGGTGAATGGATCGAGAGCAGCCCTGAGGAGAAGGACTTGGGAGTACTGGTGGACGAGAAGCTCAATATGAGCCGGCAATGTGCTCTTGCGGCCCAGAAGGCCAACCGCGTCCTGGGCTGCATCAAGAGGAGCTTGGCCAGCAGGTCGAGGGAGGTGATTCTCCCCCTCTACTCTGCCCTTGTGAGACCTCACCTGGAGTACTACATCCAGTTCTGGAGCCCCCAACATAAGAAGGACATGGACCAGTTGGAGAGGGTCCAGAGGAGGGCCACGAAGATGATAAGAGGGCTGGAGCACCTTTCCTATGAGGACAGGCTGAAAGAGTTGGGGCTGTTCAGCCTGGAGAAGAGGAGGCTCTGGGGTGACCTTATAGTGGTCTTCCAGTACCTCAAGGGGGCCTACAAGAAAGATGGGGAGAGGCTGTTCAGAAGGGCCTGTTGTGATTGGACAAGGGGTAATGGTTTTAAAATAGAGGGAGGTAGATTCAGGTTGGATATTAGGAAAAAATTTTTTACCATGAGAGTTGTAGAACACTGGAACAGGTTGCCCAGAGAGGTGGTGGATGCTCCATCCCTGGAGACGTTCAAGGCCAGGTTGGACGAGGCCCTGAGCAACCTGATCTAGTTGGAGATATCCCTGTTCCTTGCAGGGGGGTTGGACTAGATGACCTTTGAAGGTCCCTTCCAGCCCTAACCATTCTATGATTCTATGAAGATTTTCCTTAAGTGGTTTTGCCCAAGAACTTTGCCTTGAATGATGGTTTCAGGCTTAGGTGAATGTTTATGCTCTCTCCAGCCAAAAAGGAGTACTAAGAAATGGCAGAAGGTGAATTTAACTCTTCTAATGCATTGTGTTTTGGTGGGTTCTGATCCCGTTTATTCCAAAGTTTTATTTGCATCTTCAGTGATGACTTTACAGCAAAGGTGTGAACGACTACAGCGAGCTGTCTGCCAGTTCCTTGAAGGCAGCAAATCTCTCCTAAAAACGCAAAAGCGTTTCGTGTTGCTGCGAGAGGTGATTGTTGTCAGATTGGCAAATTGAAGCACATGGTGGGGGGTATTTGGGGGTCATGTAAGAAATTTCGAAAAAGGAGTTTTCCAATCGATGCCTTCGTTCTTGAAACTCCTGTCACTGAATCGAGCTGAATTTTTTTCAGATTCTTTTATTTAATTAGTCTGCTCTAGCACTTCACCGAGTAAATAATAAGGAATATATAAGGTGAGCTAACATTTAGGTTCAAGGTGTTATTTTTTTTTCCTAGTTACTTGATTTTTGAGAACAACGGTAAGAAGACATTCTCAGAGCATTTGCCCTTTTCCCCCTTTTCATAAACTCCAGGCAGCATTGCCTGTTCCTCGTCCTGCCCTGCAGATGTGCAGATTTTCCATACCTGCCCCTGGGATGCTTACTTCATCCTACCGCAGCCGTGTATCCACTCCTCACAGCCTTATAAATATCACTGAGCTGCTAAAAATAAAACAGCAGTGTGTAAGATAACATTTGCATATCCCTTCTCTCTAATAAGCTGCGTCTTCCTTCCTGAAATGAATTTGATGACCCTCCTTGGAACAGAAGAAAGGTCAGCTACGGTGATGATGGTAATCTTCGGCACTAGGAATTAGCAGGTAATAGGCTTGTGATTTAGCAGGAATTGGAGAGCAAGTGAAACGGCACGAAAGGGTCACTTTGAACTCGGCGTTTTAACAAATGCTCTCTGGCGTTGCAATAGTGCACGAATTTTCAAAAAAGGATGCGAAGAAAGTAAAATTGGAGGAAGCACTGAAGCAAGGGAGGAGTTACGCGCAGTTTGAAGATGGTCACAGTCACAGAGGACTGCATGTTTTAGAAATCTGGAAAGATTCAACCATCAAGGTAACAGTATTTTCAGTCTCGGTCTTCCACTGATAAAATGAGCTTTTGAAATTTCAGGGCAAAACAGAAAACCAGGAGATACCTGCAGTTGTGAGCGTCGTCTTGTATGTGGAGAACCCTTTGAACAGCATGCAGGACTAAATGGGATTTAAAAAAAAAACAAACAACAACCACTAACACCTTTTAAAAAAGATCAAAAGTCAGGGAAACTTAAGAATCTCTGCTTTTTTTTTTTTTCTCTAGTGTATAAATAGTTCCTGAAGTCTTAGGGTTTCACAAATAGAGGTGGTTATGCACCCCCATAGGTGCACTGCAGGGGCAGATGGTTTCTAACTTGGCCATGTTCAATCCAGAGAAGACTCCGATCATAATTTGAGATAATGAACTCGAAAAATCGGACAGTTTTGGGGTTTGCCTGCGTTTGAAAAATAGTATGTTCAGCACCCATGAGTCTGTGCTGCGCTCAGGACTTGCTCCTTTCCCCAGGTTTGATGTAAACGGTTAAGAATGATTACTAATAACCTGCAGGAAGTTTCCTTTCCCACGTTTTTCTACCCAAAGT